TTTGGACGGTGGGAGGAAGCCGGAGTACCCGGAGGGAACCCACGCAAACACGGGGAGAACATGCAAAGTCCATACAGAAAGACCCCGGCCTGATGTTGGAATTGAACTGAGGACCTTCATGCTGTGCGGCAACAGTGCTAACCACCGTGCCACCGTGCAGCAAATTAAATTCTAAAAACCATTACAAGAAAAAATAAATAAATGTAAATTTTTCCTGCATTTTTTTTTTAAAATTCCCATGACTTTTGATTTCCAAAATCCACTTTATAATGATTCCGTCACCAGCAGTAAAGCAAATAAATCCTCGCTTATTTTGGAGTTTTAAGGCAAACACTGATATTGATATTTGTTAATATGAATAATTAACAATATTGGTTGTTTAATAAAAAAGCAATGACCACAAAAACAAACAAAAAGCTATTCTAATTTATAATTTGTACATTTCTGAGTATATACAGAATGGGCTCCACGAGCTGCATCCATCTAAAACTTGTCAGTGCTCTCTTGTGGATACTCTACATAACGGCAACAGATGTTCTTAAATGGCCTCAAAGATATGTTATTTTTACACTGATGTTTTAGTAAAATTGTAAAAGTGGTATGTCAGCATCTATGACAGTATCCAGTCTCAGTATCAACCCATCACCTCTAAAACACATCAAATAAAACTAGGAAGCACAGATAACACTGCCTAAAGGACTTTATTCAAGCTCAAATTCACCGCAGGCACAGAAGAAATATAAAGAATAAGGATTTTTTTTTTACATACCAAAAAGAAGGTAAGCAGCAAACCGGGCAGAGAATTCAGAAAGAAAAAAAGAAAGTAAAAACTGATGAGGACAGGAAAAGGGAAGTTTCTCTGCTGACGTGTTTAATTAAAATAAATGATTGGACTCACTATCACAGCAGGAACACATTGCAGAAGGAGAGAAAGAGTGACAGAAGGAGAGATGAAAGGACAGCAAAGGGGGAGGATGATGAAAGAGTGAGAGACAGACGAGTGGCAGAAAGGGACTGGGGAAAGAGAAGAGAGGAATCAGAGAGAGGCCGACAGAAAGAAGGAAAAAGGTGAGAGACAGAAACGGTGGCTCTGAGCTGAAAGAACACAGACGAGTAACTAACTCTGTGGGGCTGTATTTTTTTGTATTAATCTGGCATTAAAATGGAATTATTAATGTTACTCGGCAATATGAATAAACTAAGAAATTAGTAGTGAATCAGTGGGTCATTAAATGCAACCTTCTGCTTTTGTATGTGTAGTGACTAGTGCCTCAAAATAGTCCCCTACGTTTTTAACTTAGAGAAGGCTGGGCCGTGTTATTTGAAAAATCTTAACCTCATAAATCTTACTCTGTTTGCTAAAACACATACATATTTATATCGATCTATTTTTGGTTTGATTTTAGTTACCTGCAGTGAGGTCATACCGCAGCAGGCTGAGAACCCATTCTGTGAGAATACAAGGTGTAAACACATAATGGCTGTGGTCATCCACTGTGAACTTGGCTTTTACCTAACAGGAAAGAAGAAAATACAGAAAGGGGTTATTCTATTATATTATTATATACACTCAGCAGACAGTTTATTAATCAACTTAATTAACTGATTGTTAACACAAAAAACCACATGGCAGCAAATTGATCCATTTAGGCATATACTGAACTTCAAACCGAGCATCAGAGCAGGGCGGAAAAATGACTTAATTCATTTTGAACATAGCATAGATCCATAGTTTTTTCTATTAATGGTAGTGGTGTAACGATGTGGGGGATATTTTCTTTGTTGACCTTGTACACATGCTTTATTACCACAATGTATGTGTCTTCTGATGGCTGCTTCCAGCAGGATAAAGCACCATGCCACACAGCTCAAATCATCTCAAACTGGTTTCTTGAACATCACAATCACTTGATAAAACTGTGTTCCTAATAAAGTTCTTTGTTCTGCCCCCATTGCGGTTTTATTGTGAAGCACTTTGATGTACACTAGTCTTTTAATTGTGCTGTATAAACAAACTTTGACTTTGACTTAATAAAGTGGCTGTGAGTAAATATCTATAGGATACAGATAAAACCCCTTTTTATTACACATTTCTATCTACTGCAAACTAGATATGCAAAAAGATGATTAAAAATAACCACCTGAATTTCCACATTTATCACTACGCTGCATTTATAATCCTAATAATCTAATGGCATGAAGAGCAATATCAAAATAGCAACAGAACAAACATTCCCCCCTAAGTGCGTACACAAATGCATAATTACTTGAAAACAATGTCACAATTACTGAGAATATCTGACATTTGTGGCTGCAATAAAACAGTAAGAAACTCCTATGAAGGCAAATAACAACACAACAGATTTCTTTAACTGATATTTTCTAACGTCATGAAAGCAAAATCTCAGCATTCATCTGGACACATTTCTGAGTGTCAAGTTATCTTATGCACAAGTCTCTACAATGTAATGCCTGTACCTGTAATAAAACCGGCACAAATTACGTGAAAACCTAATGTGCTTTTGAAAAGACTGGAGAGAACTTGGCTAATACCCATTAGTTAAAAATGGATATCTGTGAAAATACAAGGACTTGGACAGTGTGATTTTGCATCACATAGAGACTGTTTTAATCTGGAATTACTCAGATTTCTTTGTGCCTTTTTTTATGCTCTTTGTATCTCAGGAAAAGTGTGTTTTTACAAACATGGTTATAAACTTGAATGAACACCCTGTAAAATGCAGTACCTGTTCATAGAGCTGCACAAGAGACCCAGCCAGCTGGTGAGTTTTCCCTGTGCTAGCCCAGGCTGCCTGGCTGCTCAGGCTGTGCTGGAGAACTGGCTGCAGGTAAGCTGAGTAGATAGTCTGCAGCTGCTCCCTGTCTGGATAACTAAAGTCAGGTAAAGTAAACAGTAGGATAACAAGAATGAATCACTGTCAAGTTTGAAGGAGCCCAAGCAGAGAAACGGAGAGAGATGGGAACAATGACAAAGTGCTGTTTTACTGGTATTCACTTATATGTTGCTTGTTTTGTACTTACTCTATTGTGCAGATGCGTACTATAGAAGAGAAGCGGGTTGTGAGTGAATGGGTCCCGACAGCACCCCCTGTGGACATGGAGGCCACCACTTGTATGTTCTCAAGACTGACCCACTCCAGATTTTCATCATAGAACCCCTTATAGGTCAACACCTGAAAGAAAGGTTAATATGTATTGTTATGCTTGGTGGTAGACATGAAACAGTCTTAAAGTCTAAGTTTCTGAGAGTGGGCACTTGTATCAAAACTGTTTCCAACACATCCAGCCATTGACTGACTTTTTAATTTATCTGTCTTTTTTACCTGCTGGAGGAAGGCAGTGAGGTTGCTGGTCCCCCACTTGTCCGGTTTGGGTAGGTTGATGTCTTTTAAATAAAGGACCAAGTTCTCGCAGTCCTTGGGTCTGAAAACTCGACCAGTGTTAGAGCTGAGCAACAGGCACGTCTGGCTCAGTTTCTGTAGGACGTGGCGTGATGATGTCTGGGCGCTGCAGTGAACCACAGCAACTTGGGTGGAACGCAGCCGAGAGAAGGCGTAGCGCAGGAGCATGCTGAACAGGACGAACAGAATAAGGTCAGGAAACACACAAGAACTCAAAGTACGTGAGGTGAGACATGAGCGCAGAGGATGGCAACAGTTCATCCATATGCTTAAATGTTTTAAACAGTTCAGCTTCACCCATTTTTAAGCTGATCTAAGGACAACAAGAAAGGATGAGAGGATGAAATCTGTGTTATTGCCACATTAAACAAAAAAGAAACTTTTGGGACGTCAAGAAGATTGTTTACCTTTGACTCTAAGGCAAATTAAAGAAAGTAAATATGACGTGTTCATGGGCATGCACAGTCATTATCAGAAAATCTGTACTTTTATCAGAAGACTAAGTTGACAAATCTTGTGCCTTACTGGCACCGTAATGTTTCAGACAAAGTGAGGCAGGGCATGAGGATGAGAAAAGACTGAAAGATACAAAAGTGGAGTGTAAAAGGCAAACTAAGGGACCCTTGCTCTTTTATACCCAGGGGAAGGGCACAATTACTTGTGGGGAAGTTCAGAACTTGATGTGTACACGTACACAATCCCAAGCACAAACAGCGCGCACACATACACACACCCAAAGATTTGATCTTTATTCTGAGCTTTCAGTGCCTTTACAAGAAAGGTCAAGTCTTGAATAAAAGCAGCTTTGATTTCACTGTTGATTATGTGATTGTGTCATTCTGAGTATTCATATTTGAGTGCCTCTGTCTCACAAACCACACTGCACACTCTGACCTCACCAGTGATTTTTGTACTAAAGGCTAACATGAGGATAGAATAAAAAAAATACCCTTTGTGAATTGCTTCCACAGAATGCCATTTGATCTTAAGTCAGGATAATGGAAGGTAATGTAACAGTTGTTCAGCAATCATGGCTTTGTGAAGGGCTAAATGGTTTTTAATGTGTTTTTGTATATGGATCCAGAAGTAATTACCCCTTTCCACAACCCTCTGGCCCTACGACCATGAAGGGCTGCCTGTGCTGTGTGGTGAGCCAAGGAGAGAAACCCTGCAGACCTCTCTGCATGCCTGGAGTCTCAATCACAGGTAGCATGTGTGTATGAGAGAACTGCTCCAGCGTGAGACCCTCGGGACGCTGGAACATGTAACTTGCTAGATGACCACTGTCAGTGTTATAGTAAGTATCCAATGGTTTTCTGGGGTCTGGTGGGCTTTCCCTGGCCCAGCTCAGCAACTACAGGAGTGAAAAGACATAAAGACAAACATTAGCTGGTTATCCATCCTTATAATTTGCAGCAGTTACAATTAAGACAAGAATACAATTTAAATCCAAACATAAAACTGTTCTTGAACTCAACCTCTATTGATACCAAACGAGAACAAAATGAGGTCCTCACCTCTTTGGCAAACTCCTGTCGTGTTTTGAGGTTGAGGTTTCCTCCCATACCTCTCAGTAGACCAACGATGAACTGGCCCCTCTCCTTCACAGCATTGAGGTGAGACAGGCAATTGAACACTGTGCCCACTAAACTAGTTTCCACCACAAAGTCATTCTGATGAGGAGAGAGAAAGAACAGCATACAGATGTAAGGATCAAAGATCTTTTTAAGATTTTCAAATAAACCGGTTGAGCAAAAGAAAAATCCAGTCTGTAAGGATTATGTAAATTAGAAGGAAATAATAAATGGATCTGTTCATTGAGCTGAAAGGTCACAAGTCATTTCAGTTACTTGATTGCACTTTCATAATGTTACCAATTAAATATATCATAATAAATACTGGTAAGTATAAATGAAGTTAACTGATCAAGGTTCTACGTTGCTCAGTGCATACGCACTGATGACACCACTGTGTCGACACCACTGTGTCAGGTTCCAAACAAAAGATGTGTTTAACATTTAGAACAATGAAAAGATGTGACTGCTTTTCATGCACTGTGTAGCAGTGGGACACTGACCTGCTTGAGGACCCAGTCCAGAGATCTTTGGAAGTAATCGCCCAGCCAGTTTTCAAGATTATTGTGACACTCTTCTGGCTGACCCTTTAACCACGACTTCACCAAGGCACCCACATCAATGTCCTCATCACTTTAGATATAAGGAAGTAAAATGCCAGTGAGACAATAATGAAAAGGTGGAATTTGGTAGAAATAAATGCTTAAAACTCTTTCTGCATAGGCTGACTGACCTGAGAAAGATCATGCCCATGCGGGATATGGTAGCTGGTGAGGCACAGCTGAGGTCATGAGTCTCAAACAGGAAGTTAACATTAGGTCCAAACTGGATGCGTTCGCCACTGGGCATGGTTAACAGTCGATTATCATCAAGGACAGAATTCAGACTCTCAATCCACTCAGGATCAATGTCGCCATCACACACGATCCAAGAGTTCACCTCTAGAAAACACAAATATACATGTGTATGTTTACAACACATGCATACAGGATATTAATCACGACACTGGGTGTGTCTGAAAGAATCATCTGATTTCAAAAGTTTTACATACAAAACTTGTTCACAAGTGCTTAACATTGCAGAATTAAAGCACTTTGAAATTGGATGATTCTGGTGATGGCCAAACGCTTTTCCAGTTTCAGTGGGCAATAATGTCAAACATCTGGTTAATCACAAACCAGCAGTGTCCCTCTCTTATTACCCTGAGATTCTTTGACCACGTTCCTGGCACTGTGGGTGAGGACGCCATCAGACCACTCTCTGGTGTCCATGTCTATATGTCCCAACAACTGTTGTCTGGGCATGGCCTTAGGATTCATTGTGTACTGCTTCACCTACCAAACAAAAAAAAGTGAATTGGCAAGGAACTCAAGGCAGAATTTCTTTAATTTTGAAAATGTCGCTTTTTAGATTCTTTTATATGCTAAATAACACTGGAACTCAGACAGTGATAATGCAATTTTAGAGGACTTATATTACATCACTTTTTCCAGTTACAGCATTAAATTCAAGAGGGGAGGTTCTCCCTCTACTCACCACTTTTCCTGTCTTGCCGAGAGCCGCCCTGAGCATCCTCCACAGTGTGGACTTGCCTGCTCCGCTTGGCCCGACAACAACTACGCCCATACGTTGTCTTAGCTGTTCATTTAGCTCCAATGCCTTCTTTAGCTATAAATGACAACAATTACTCCATTTAACTATCTCTGATTTTCTTATACCATCTTTCTAACAAACAACGTCAGTTCACATAGTGTTTATTAGAATTCTTCATATACACACCTGGCTGGGTATAAGTTCAAGCTGTGCCTCCTTATAAACTTGTTCCAGTGCATGTGTTAGTATCTGGTCCTCCACGTCAGTGAAATCAACCCCAGAGAAGACATCTCTCACCAGAGCATCAAACCGAGAGCTATCGGCAAAGGTCAGCTTGGACATTGTGTTCAGTCTTAAGGCCTGCACTACCAGACTACTCTCTTCAACTGCAAGTAGTAGGACAGAGAGAGAAAATGAGTTAGAGAAAGAAAAGAAATTAATATAAATTTAATTTCAATCCAAAACAGGGATAAGCATAAAAAATACTTGAATAAGAGTATGGTTAACACTATAAAACAGCTATAACCTATGAAAAAGGCAATATGCTGAATGAAAAGAAAAAAAAAAATAGGAAATTATATAAAAACAAGGTGAGGAAAGTTTAGTATTGGTTTGCTCTTGCAAATGTCCCCAGTGAAAAATGTGCTAATTACCAAAACTTGTCACGATTTAAGACACTGTCAATACTTTTGATCTCTTGTCTTTCTGCAGAGAAGTGCACTTGGCCAGACTACATACAGAGACAAACACAAGGAAAAACCTCGGGGACTCATCGACAGACAAGAGGTTCACACGATGTGTCTGTGAATCTGTGTGTGCGTGTGTGTGTTTGTGTGTTGGAAAGATGAAAGGTGGGTGGTGGAGGAAGAGAAAGGTTTAAAGGAAAGAATGATAGAATCAGGGAAAGGGTGAGTAAAACCAAGGTAGAAGTGGGGGAGGTTATTGAAAACAAGAGGCATGAAGGGGACCTTTGGGGTGAGAAAAAGAGGGCACCGATTGCGAACGAGCGGGACGAGAGCAACATCGACAGCCAGGTATCAGAGAAAGAGAGCGCTAACAAGAGGTTAGAGGAGGGAGCAGGAACTGAGGAAGAAATATTGAAGAGGTAAACAACAACGCTCTGGCAAAGTGTTTTGGGGATGAGAAAATGCAGAAGGACAAAAGTACAGACAAGTGAAAAACCCGAGGGAAGAAAAGTTTTTAAGGAAAGTGCTTGAGCTAAATGTCAATTCATGGCATGTCCGTACTAGAATATTTAGAGGGCAAGCGCAGCATGTGCACAGAAAAAGAGCTGGACAATAAAGGCTTCTGTTTAAGTATATTCGTGGTGTTTATCCGGCTGCATTCAATAGATATCCACACAAAGAGGCACATTTAAGCCAAACACTTTTATTGTATCTCTGTTGAGCAAAGGATAAGCATCTCCAGACCAGTCAAATTTTTAACTGTAACCTTATCTTCCGATGCTTTACGTCAACTCGAAAACTTTCTATCCCTCAGGTCCAAAGGTTGCTATCAGTATAGCAGTTTCAGCACTTCCAAAAAGTAGATTTTCAACTAGACTTAGAAAAGTTGCCACTTTTTTTTTTTTTATTATCAGAGACTGCGTCGAGATTTCTGTTACAGCTTCATCTACTTCTGAGGTGGATGAAGAAGTTAAAAAGTCTGAAGAGGCTAAAACTTCTTTTTCCAATAACCCCAATGAGCCAAATATGTCAGTCTGACAAAGGGTGTTATTATTATTAAAAGTGTCAATAGTCTTTTGGGCTCCTTTAACTTTAGTCGATTAAAACAATCAGATTATATTAAAAGAGTGGTTTGGATGTTACATGACAGCACAGTTAAGCTTACTTTGCCTTTGAGATATATTTATTTATGATGTGTTGAATGATCCTTCACCAGGACAAGAGTCCGGTCTCCAATAAACACAATGGATTGAACTATATATTTTTTAACATCTATCCATCCATCCTATTTTGCTTATATTAAGTCATGTTACAGTGGCAGCAGGTGAACCAGACATCCTCTCACTCAGTGAGACTCGACACTTTGGGATCCCTCAGTTACTCCATACCCCAAAGTATTCCCATACGGAAAATATAATTTCTCCTATATGTTCTGGGTGTACCCCAGGGTTAGGGTGAACAACCGATATTAAAAAAAATAATAATAATAATCTGAGGACCTGCACTCTGTTCTTGACATATACCATGAGGGGATATGATATCCCATACTATATGTGTTCTCCATCAAGGAGCAGAAGTTTTACACATAGCTGCTTTTTATGTTAATTAAATGGCCCAACTTTACCCAATCACAATTACCCCCAAGTCACTGCTAATCCCTTGGATCCAGCTGAGTGACACACCAGTGGATGAAATGTTGACTTTGATTTCTCATTGGAAATCATGTCAGGAGCGTGAAAACCACACATCATAATGTTTCCCTATGCCAACAACAGACCAGTGGTGCCAGTATGAGGCATCGAGGTAACTTAAGGCCTTTGGGTTTAGCTCCCAAGGTCATCATCAGCCAGGGCAGCTTTGAAGCATCTGTGCAGCAGCTGCCCACAAGGGGAGTGAGAGAAGCCCATAGCAAAAAGTTATTTAGCTGGAGAAACAGCAACAGCCAAGAACCCCTAAAAAAGTGTGTCTGTTTGTTTAAATTCAGCCTCTAGATGAGAAATGTCTTGAATACAACAGTAGACTTTCAAAACTCTACCCAGAGGGATGTTCTTTCTAATTATGCCTATTTTTGTTAAGTACAGTACATCACTGTAACTCATCTGTAGGACTAGAATAAAGAATGTGTAAATTGACTAAACAAATATGCAGCCCACAACTTTCAGACTTGTAGTCTCAATCAGTGTTGACTCAAATGGCTTAAGGCAATTTCTCAGATTATGTGCAGCTCCCTCTTAAGTATAGATTTCATTCTCACCCCACCAAATGATTTCACAAATTAGCACAACCTCTGCTTCAGACAGAATTAAATCATTAATCAAATCATCAGGTGCTGCTTGGCTATAATGAAAGTCTACCATTAATGTTGTGTACTTATAAACCCAAATAAAACACATTATATTTTATAAAAATCCTAGTACTTTGCATTGTTAAAGTTTTGACCCTTTGTACTTGGCAAAGAGTTTGATTTTGACTCAAAGATTAACCCATTTCCTCCTAACTTTCTTTTAAAATATATTTTTGGCCTTTTTAGCCGTTGTAATGATGTGACAGGCTGAAGGTGGACAAGAAAGGTTGGGGAGAGCAGGGGGAAGGGATGTAGCATTTGGCCGGTACGAAATCAAACCTTGGTCTCTGGAATAATCTTGTGGCATATGAGTTGCCTGCTCAACCCAGTGAGCTATACTGGCACCCCCTCAAAACTTTCTTGACACAATATTGGAGAAGAAAAAAATAAAAATGCCTCACAAAAATAATCTATATTAAAAAAAAGGAAAAACACCCAGAGGGGGTCTTACTCTTTTCTTTGTTGCGATTCCTTCTGTGTTGCTGCAGGAGATCGCCGCAGGCCTTCAGCACTGTCTTTAGAGCTCGCAAACCCCAGTCATAGTGTTGCTGAGGAGTCAACAACTCTCTGGAGAAAGAAATAAAGGCACATTTTTACACATCACACACTCGCAGTTGGCGGTAGCATTGTCTGTAACAGTCAGTGGTGGGAGGCAGAAAGGGTAATTTATCCACAAAAATCAAGCAACAGCATACTATTAATGCTAAAACGTAAAGTCCATTTAATAACACGTGAAACACAAAAATCACACACAACACAGATATCAGGTGACGCACATTGCATGTCAATTTGACCCTAATCCAAACCAAAAATGACATAATTCTACCTTGCCAGGTTGAAGATTGCTACCAGTTTGCATCCCAGTATTTCTCCATTTTTGAAGCCCTCGGAGTAGAGGATGACTTCAGCAATGAGCTCATTGTCTGGCCTGCTCATGGCCACAGGCCTGAACAGTTGCTTTAGGTTGTCTGGAAGTTTCTGTCTGCCTCCATAGCCTTTTCCTGCCGGGTTTAATGTGATAAAGACTCCAGAATTAGGGTCCAATTCCACCTAGAGGATGAACAAAGTAAGAACATGTTCTCAATATTATGATTTTTTAAAACTGGCATGAGTAAAGTTTAAGCAGTTCCTTCTTGAATTATGACAAATCCCGGTTTTACGCCATATATGAAAACATAAATAATTTACTGTGGGACTGATTTGACTGAAAGACAGTTAAAAAAAATAGAAAAAAATAATTGTATATCATGAGAAAGTGTCATAAATTACTGAGGTGGGCTTGAGAAATCAGAATGACCTGGTGTTCAGCATTATTGTTTTTGTCTGCATTTGTTTATTTTCTGACCTCCTTCCCTAGCAGATCGCATGTGTTCTTATGGTGTTTGAGAGAGTCTTGAATGGCCTGAATCTGCATGGAAACTGCAGACAGTACTGCTTCCTCTAAACGGTTAAACTCGTCAAAGCAGCCCCATGCTCCACACTTCACCAACCCCACAAAGATCCGTCCCATTGACTTCACATCGATACCCTGAAAAACAGACCAAAAAAAACAGTCGTTGTCATTTGTACTCAATTTGCAATCCTACTTTGTTTGCGCATGTGTGTGGACTAATCAAAAGGTTAGTGTATGTGTGTGTCTACTACTGCACATATGTGATTCATGGATATATTGTATCCACATGTCTTTAGTTGTAGCTTTCGCTTTGTATATATTTTTTGCTTTTCACAGAAGGATCTATACACCTCGTCACAGTTGAACACCAGCACTTGACGTCCAAACAGCCCTCCTAAGGCTTTGACGGACTCAGTCTTGCCTGTGCCGGCTGGCCCATAAGGGTTCCCCCCGAGCCCCATCTTCATTGCCTGGGTCAGAGTCAGGTAGCATTTATCAGTCAGTGGAGTATGCACCAGCTTAGCCACATTCCCCTGGGAGGCAGTAAGAGATAAGATTAAAGATTAAAATTAGGAATAAAGACAGCAGAGGAAAGTGATGGTGGCCAGACAGAATCGGAGATATGGGTGAAGGGACACGATGGAGACTGAAACAAACTCGTCAAAAAATAAAGGAAATGAATGGAAAAGGAAAAATGTGACAAATGAATGATGGACGGGCAAAGAAAAGAAAAGTAAACGGGAGTCTGGATGTGGATGTAGAAAACTGCAGAGTGGAAATGCAAGAAGGCACTGTATTACACGTGCTCCTTATCCCTGCATAAACAGTGCCCCCCAAAGGTTAAAAAAATAGGTTCAAATACATTGATCAACACCTACACAACAGCTCCCATAAGCAGGATACTGCAGCCTGCCACACTGCAAAAACTGTTTAACGATAGCTTGTGATAAAGCTGATCCAGCCCCCAAACTCCTGCCTATAGTGTAATTATTACTGATATAAACTGGGATTAAGAAAATGTATGTGCTCCTAATACTAGCTTACCTGGGTCATACTGAAAGTAGCTACAGAATGAACAAAATGTTATAAGGCTTCACCTGAATATTAAACCCTTGGCATATTTTGGCTAGATTTAGATATTTGGTTTCCTTTTTTTGGTTGTTACACGTGAATATAATAATTTTTGTTATGGTTATAAAATTAGACATGATGTCAGTCATTTATCATCTGTAAAAATAGACTAATAACAAATGGCACAGCTTGCTGTTGAAAATGTCTGCTGCTTTCCTCCATTGCAAGTCAATGTGCTGTAAAATGAATGCTAAGAAAGCAGATTTAATTTCCTGTGGTTTAATATTCTTAATTAGCAAAACAAAATGTCAAGTAAAGATTAACTGGAGTGCAGGAAACATCACTGAATGTTTTGGTTTGTCCCATTTGTGTAATTGAAAAGAGGAACGCATATACAACACGTTTGCACCATATCACACCTGGTATTCATAGGTATAGCTGAATTGTGCATCCACCATATGTATGTGGCAGCATTGGTCCAGCCCCATATAGAACCGAAGCTGCTTCTTCCAGGCCCAGGCGTCAGTAGTGGTAACTCCTGCCTGGTTAAGTTGCTTCACCACACTGATGTTGTGGATAATATCCAGGATCAAGGCCTTCAGCTTCAATTGCAGGACACTAGACTCTGTACAAGGAGACATGCATAAATTTTAGGGTGTCAGAACCTGTAAAAGTACACAAATATCACATTTCTGACATAAAAGAGCATTGTATCTGTAAACGCAGGGTGCTGGATTTAACCAGGCCAGGAAATAGTTAATATTTGTTACAATAGTGTATTGAATTTGAATAAACCACAGTGTAGAACTGAGAAATTCTGAAATAAACAATATGATTTTTTTCAGCATGACTCAGGCAACACATTTAAACATTAAAAACTGTGCTGCATTACCTCTTCAGTTCATCACTGTTCAAGTTTTATGGAACTGATTAGACCAGCAGCTGTAACCCTGATTTTACATTCTTGCTTGATACGGGATTTCTCTCTCTTTCTTTTGGTAAAGTGGTGATCATTCCAAACAGGTGTCAGTTCTTGACTTCAGGGGATTGTAATTTGTATTAAAAATAGCATTTGAGCTTATATAACAGAAATAAGCAAGGCCTTCTCCCCAAAAGACATCGCTGGAAAGCAGTAAATGTTCTTTTAAAGGCCAAAGAAACCACATACATATCATTCAGTATTAAAAGGGCCTTTCAGTATGGGCAAGTTGCCCATGCCCTGTGCACTAATGCGCACTGATACCATCAAGGATGCTGGCTTTTGTACTGTGTGCTTACAACAAGTTGAGTGATGGCCCTTCTGTTTAGCCTGGAGGAGTTTAAAATTTTGACCTGTCAGACCACAGGAATATTTTCTGCTTTCCCTCAGTCCGAACAAAGGCCCAGAGAGAGCACTGGTGCTTCTGGGTCTGTTTATATGTGTATTTTTTTTGCCTAGCAACCCCCCAAAATCAATTATGGCTACACTCCTTTTTACATTTATCTCTGAAGCTGAGAATGACCACTTCAAGCCACCTTTTATGCATCTTTTATAGTCTTGTTGACATGTATGCATCAATAGTGCCAGCCTAGCTAGAGATGCATACAAATTACTTCAGCAAATGTATGCCAAATGTATCCTGTCTTGCCTCACCAACAAATGGCTCCTCACTTCCTGTGGAGTTTATGGACATTTTAGGCAGACTGGGTAATTAGATTGTCTTTCTTGCCATTACTTTTGCTGCTTTAATCAGTCCCAGCACTTTATAGCCACTTGAGACAAACTGGTGTTAAAAGAAAGCACATCACATAGGGATTTTACCCTTTTTAACCCCTTTTCACAACGGTGTCCTGCATCCATGATTTCCTCTCAAAATGAATCATAAACGAGCAAAAGTAAGACATTGTTAGTTAAGTTAAAACTAATAAGCGACACGACCACTCAAAATAGTCCAAAATGAGCCTTTGCAGCCTTTACACTGGTTTAGTCATAATACCCTTTTCAGCTATCAAAAGCCCCCAATTTGATACAGCTTGTCATTTTCAGTAGAAAACAAAATGAAAACTTCCCCAGGCGCCATCCTGACACAAGAAGTGAATTACTCCAAAGCCTTTTTTTCTTTAACAGCTAAAAGAAACAGCACTTGCAATATTACAGTACATCACCACCTAGGCGTGTCAGTCCTATCTAATGAAATCTCTAAGAAACATTGCCATATATTTTGTTTTTTTACACAGAAGCCAGTAATTTAATAATGTATTATCATGGAAATAACTGCTACAGGCATAAATGGAAAAGGTGTGCATGTAAGAATATAATATCTCCATATAATATAATCCAGTGCTGTACTAAAATAAAAGGTATTCTACAACTGTGTGAAAAAGTCTAAAAGCAAATTTAGCCCACACGCTGAAGTTAAGCATGAAGAAAATGACAGAAGAGATTTGGAATTTGACCATTTCCCAGAACGCCAATGTCCTGTGAAATGTCGGTACTGCTGGCGCTTTTCATCTCATGAATGAGTAACTTGTTTAAATCTAAAAGTAAAGCAGATTTGAGTTCTGAGGCAAAAGTTGGCTGTTATGCTTTATGCAGCCATATATTCATCCCCGGGTCATTAAATTCGCCTGTCAGTTATGTTGCCTACAGATTTAAAGTGTACTACTGCCCCTTTGCAGCTTCCTAGGAGACTATGAGTGATACACTCATTTGGAATTAATTTCCCACTCATCTCATAATCTCAACAGATTCAACCAAGCCTGAGATTTGGATCAGTATCTGATGTAGATTAAGTACACATATTAAGTAGCAATTGTTTATCTGGACTCTCACAGAAAGGTCAAAAACTAAAATAAGGGTTGTGAAATTAGCTGTAGAAATAACCACAGAGAGAGAAAGAAAAATCACACATCAAGTGTATATTTTAAGACCTCTTGGGGAAAAAACATTGCGTAGTTCCTGTTTATCACAACTTCTTCTGTCTTTCTGTGTATTACCCTTATGTCAGAGATCGTAACCAGTCAATATTGGCAATTCTAATTGCCAATATGGCCACTAGGGGTCATAGGACTCCACTCAAGTAGCCCAGTTATATTGTATCACTTTATATATAATGTTAAAGCTAGCGTCTACATTTAGCTGAATACTTGGATTAGAGGAAGAAAAACTGTAGAAACACTGGTGAACACAGTGACATGGTGATTACTGTTGCCTCAAAGCCTAACAGTAAGATGGTCCTGGATCTGGCCAGGGCCTTTCTGTGTGGAGTTTGCTTGTTCTCCTCGTGTCTGTGTGGGCTCTGTTCAGATACTACGGCTTCCTCAAGCACTCCAAAGACAGGCATGTTAGTAGGGTTGGGTTAATTGGTGATTGGCTTTAATATGCTTCAGATGTGAATGTCAGTGTGAATGGTTGTCGGTCTCTCTGTGTTAGCCCTGTGACAGACTGGCAATCTGTCCAGCGTGTACCCAACCTCTCGCCCTATGGCAGCTGGGATGGGAGATGAAGTCAGAGATACAAGGCTGAGACTGTTTTGGACATGAGCAAAAGAGAGGTAGTGGATATATTGGGCAAAGGACGTTGAAGACAGCTACCAGGCAAAAAGAAAAGAGGAAGTCCACATAAAAGGTTCAGGCATGAAGTAAAGGAGGGCCTGCAGAGGGTTTGTGTGACAGAAGAAGATGCTAGGGATAGAGTGAGAGTAAGATGACTTGTTATGGCCATCCCTAAAGGGAGGAGTGGAAATAAGAAGAAGAAAGAAACTGGCTGGTTGTAATAATCACAGATTTGATGTTTATTCATTAATGTTGGTTATAAATTGCTTTTAACTGTAAGTTTTTTTAATCCTTGTATGCACACACTAAGCTAAACGTATATGTTAAATAAAATCCATATCATGTGTGCAGAATTTCATGTAGTTCAGTGCACACACTCAGACTCACCGGTCTGAATGGGCACACATACTTTATCTTCCTTGATGCTTAAACACAAATGTGGTCCCTACCTGTGTTATCAGAGCTGGTGTCCACTGTGGTATAGACTTCTAATTTGCTGTTAAGCTCCAACTCCAACTGATGCAAATTTTGTTCTTTTATAGCTCTTTCCACATCTTCAGTAAATTGGATTTGCTCAGCCAGACACAGGATCTACACAAAAAAATGCAACATTGTTTAATGCTGGGGAGAAAAAACACATTTTCTTTTACATCACAAGCTGTAAAGATTTTTTTTTAAAAAAAGCAGTATAAATGAGTGTGTGCACCTGTGATGGATAACGAGAGGGGTCCACTTCCCCTTTCTTTGCTGCCGACACACATTCATACAGCAAGTGCTTTAGGGTCTCCTTCATTTCCACAGACAGCTCACTTAACCACACCTAGAAACGAAGGAAAACTGTTTATGCAGAACCACAAAGGAAGGTTCAAAGAAAAAGCGTATAAAACGTTTAAAATGAATAGACATTTGTGTTGCTTTGAATACATTTTTAAAAAGGATAAACATACTACAAGTACCTCTTTAGACCTCCAACAATGATAATACTATTTATCCATTTATATACATTCATAGCTTTACCTCCACAAGGCTGGATATGTGTACACTATTTCTGAGTGGCACAATTTCTCCCTCCAAAGAACACATGGCGACAATGTGCTGGCAATGCTCATCAAACACAACACTGTGGATGCCTGCAAAGGGAATATATATGCAGACTACTGTCACTATCCAATACAACCACTATGATTCAAACAATATGAACAAATATAACAAAAGGGGGAAACGGGCAGAAGACAGAGCGACAGCAGATAAATGCAAACGATCATCAGCAACAACAGAATGTAAGAACACACATGTCTCTGACCTGCAAAGAGTTTTTTTAGGTGTGACTGGATGACACTAGGGTTGGTTGCCTGCCCAAGAATTTCTAACAGATCATCATCTCCAATGAAATAGAAACGTGGGAAGGCAGACCGTTTCTCCTGTGATGCAGACACAAAACCACATTTAGGTAGTGGTGATATTTGAAACCCATGTGAAAGAAAGCAAATGTCTTTTCACACGTGCGTATTCACCTCCAGGAACTCATTGAGTGACTTTTGGCAGCGCTGTAGTTGGTCCAGTATGGTGACGAGGGAGTTTCTGATGCCAGCCCTCGAACTCAGAGAAACAACTCTGTTGTCTCTCTGGATGTCTGACATTATAGACCTAAGACACAGAGCGAGAAAATGTTCAGTTATGCCAGTTTCTATTTGTCAGCAAAAGAGAAGCCACATGTAGTTGGTATATTATGGTATATTATCACATGTAGTATATAGTGGTTTTCTAATCTTACTGAACACTCAAAGTGCTTCAGACTACAAGCCACATTTAACCACACAGTCAAATAGTGTTTTATTCTATACATTGCAAACATGGAAGTCTTTAAACTGTCAGAGGAAGCTAGACTACCCAAAGAAAACTCATGCACTCATAGTGAGTGCGCACATTCAAACACCAGAAGGAAAGGTCCAAATCAGGAACGTTCTTGCTGTGAAGTATCAGTGTTAGCCACCATTGTGCCTAAATGGGCAAACGCTTCATTTGTGTTATTACACAGAGCTGCACACACTGTACCTGAAGTCTTCATCAACTCGTTTGAAGCGAGCCTCCTCTCGGGGCAATGCTCCTCGTCCAAAAATGGGCTCCAAATAAACCCAGCGCCTCTGGATGGCATTCAGACTGAGCAGATACTCATCCAAGTCAGACAGACGAACTTCCCACAGACTGACCTGGATATACGTGGAGTAAATACTCAAACCTTTGTCACAGTTTCTTCATCAGGGATTAAATGTTAATATATAAATGAACCAAATTTTTTTTTTAAACTGCATGTACCAATACAAGTTGAGAAAGGTATGTGAAAAGTACTTTTTCCATACATAAAAAAAAATTAAGCACTTAAAGTTTATTCACAGATTTAAAGACCTTGACCTGACCTTGTCCTGGAAGCTGCGGTAATAAGGGGAATCCTTCAGCGACTGCAGCAGACAGCGATTATCTCCCACCTAGATAGACAGAGAAATGGTGAAAACGTAATACCTAATACATAAGATGTCATTTAGGCATTTAATGTCAACTATGTCTCCCTAACAATTTAGTCAAGTAAGCTCTTTTATTTGAACTGCCTGACATAACATTTCACTGATGTACTGAAACCAGGGCAACATTTACATGTAAATATGGACAGCAACATTTAAAGAAGCAAGTACTAATTATATAATGTTTTTTTTAAAAAAAACAATAACACTGTTTCACAATCAGACACAGTGGGTTCTATCTTGGTAAGCCTCTACAAACCTTATGTATGGGTCATTCTAAAGCAGGGGTCTCAAACTTTCGGCCCGGGTGCCACTTGTGGCCCACGTCACTCCTACTTGCGGCCCGTATATTGACGTGAAGAAATGTAATGCAATTACATATTGAACTTTTTTTGTTAGGCATGATTTGTTTGTTGCTGAATGCAATGTTGAAATAAGTTCGTTAAAAAGCAAAAAATGATTTAACATGAAAACAATATGAGCAGAGAGTGCAAACATGTTGAGGGATTGGCTGTGTTGGTTCAGTGAGAGAGTTATTTGTAAAGAAAACAATTTTCACTAGAAGTCAAAAACTAATGTGTACACTTATGTCTGCATTTTTATTTTATTAAATACAAACAAAATTAGAGTAGAAGTGCTGCCACGTGTTTGATCAGAAAGACAGTAACAATTTTATTATTTGGTAGTTCAAAGTAGTAGCAGTTGAAAGGCCTCAGTTAAGAGTGAGGAAAAAAATTGCGTTCACATTTGCAGATTTGTCTTGTTATACAATACTTGACATTTAAAGAAAACTAGCAAAACACTATATTTCTGTAAATATTTGTGGGTGTTTTTGTGTTTGTTTGTTTGTTTTTTGTATTACTTGAACACTAAAGTGGCCCTCCAATGAGATGACAGTGCCAGCAGTGGCCCACAGCCCATTTTGGTTTGAGACCCCTGTTCTAAAGAGTTCATTGGATTCAAGTGTGGCACTGATGCAACAAGTCAGCTTGTGAAATTTCTTCCCTTCTAAATATTTCACAATAAGTGGCATTACTACAAAGTGGAAGTTTTCCAGAAACCACTGAAACTCAGCCTCAAAGTGTCAGAGCGGCAAGTGCTGAGGTGCATAGTCCGTAAAAGTTGCCCTCACTCTGTTGACTCAGTAAGTCGACCAGACCGCCTCTGGCATAAGATCAACACAAAAACTGAGTTTGCTGACATGAGGTTTCCATAGCTGAGAAGCTCCTGTGCTGTATGTGTAGGCAGTCTTGTACTTTTGTCCATATGTGGTATATTCAGGGCTCCTGTTCAGATACATTTGTGTTCAAGAAGTATCTTAAACCACATTAGCCTAAATCACTAAAAGCAATACTTTAGTACAAAAAAAGTGTATAATTGCAGCAAATCCCTTTGTGGCTCTTTTTCTTATTCAATTTCCTCTGATAAATTAAACTAGAGGAAAGAAGCAGCAATCTTGTGCCACCCTATCCAAGGATATAATGAAGCTCAATTATATCTAGAGGCCATCGCAGATTCAATAGTGAACAATATAGAAAATTTAAAACAATCCAATCTAGACAGGCAAAAGATTAACTACAGCAGGACAAATGTAAAGCAAGATGAGGACGAATGAGCGCAGCAGATAACTGAAGCTGTTTTTCAAAAAGGGATGCAAGTGCCAAGATTTGCCTGTTTGTCTCTCTGGAGTCATTAAACAGAAAAATCTCATTAGCCACTTGAATGTTCAAAATGTCTAAAGTTTCCTATTTGGCCATCATTTCCATCTTAGCAAAGAGGTGCTTCTCTAGTGAATTTCAACAAGTGGATACATTTCAGGGGTTTTAATCTCGATTTGTATTCTTTTTACTATAAGTAAGTAGCTAATTTCTAGCTTATTTCTCTGAACTATCTCAAGCACTGTGCTGCCCAGCAATTTCTTATAGGCTAACTGCACCTGATCTACTACATTAGATCTCTGTGTTCAACCTTCTCCTAGTTTAGTCCACAATAAATGAACTGCAATTTATACAGTACCTTTTTACACTCGCATTTTTAATGTAACACCTGCAAACCTAGATGGAGGCATCAAATGGTACTGACGATTCAGGATCTTGCCTAAAGGCACTTAAATTTAGCGTTGCAGGAGCTGAGGATCGAAACATGGACCTTCTGAATAGCAAGGTCCATCCAGGAGATGTGACTATTTTTCATAAAATGATTTATGGTCAACTCTAACCAATTAAAAAAAAACTCAATTTACTTTCCTAGTCAAACTTCAGAGGTTCACTGTGGCATTGTGAACCAAATCTGCATTTTATTTTTCTACACAACAGCTGAGTTGATGTCTTTTTTTTTATGTGTGCTCCATATATCTACCTGGTTGACAATATCCTTCCAGTCCTTGATGAGGGTGAGAGTGCGCCCACTGCTGTCTGTGTACTCAGTGAGGGTGAAGGTAGCTGCAGCTCCCCACAAATCCAGCTCCCTCAGAGCTTCTCTGATCGTCACCTCCGCCTGAGCACGACTGTTCAGATCCTATATCAATGTGCACCACATGCACACACAAAAAACACACGCCTCTGCATCAGTCATATTGGGTTTTGCGTGTGGACCGCCCGTTTGCCTCATTACATTTCCAGCACATCACTGAAATCTGCCAACATGTCCAAACTTTTTCCAAAAAACCTGGAAGACTAACATTTCTCAGCTTCGAGTCGTGATGTACTGACTTTTTTACTTCCATTTCTGTGTTTGTGCGTGCACAGTGTGAGAGGTTGCTTTAATACCCTCAGGATTTCAAACAGGTTTGATTTTCTTGCAATTTTCTTGATCGGGAGCTGGTCGTGAGGTGTTAATCGCTTCTCGTTACCCCATGTATATTACATGTTGCACGACACACGATTAAGGCTAAACTCGGGCCAATCCAAATATACAAATGCAGGCCAAAGCAGCTTTATAGATATCAGTTACGATCTTTATCATGCCATTACTGAAAATTACTGAGTTCTGATTCCCTAAAGATTAGGGCACTAAAAAATACATTTATATACAATTTCAAAAGTGTGTTTGTACAGACCTTGAGCTCCATTGCTTTCTCTATGATGGTATTTGCCACAGCAAGAAGGTCACTAAAGGTAAGTCTCTCTAAAGTCATCCCTCTTGGGAGGCCTAGTAAACGGAACATGTCCAACCAGTGGTCCTGAGACAGGTGGTCCCCACGTACATACTTCAGCACTGGAATCATGTTCTAGATATTGAGACGAAAAAAAAAAAGGAAACAAAAAACAAACAAGATTTGCAATTAGCTCACTTATAAAGTCAGAATAAAGATTTCCCTCACAGCCGTGTAGATTCAAATGAAACGTCACAGCCAGGGCGCCCCCGAGGGAACATCCCACCTTTGCGGGGATTCCCCATCGGGGGTGGCATGGTGGTACGACAGGGCAGCACTGTTGCCCCTTACTGTTCCCTGATTTCAATTCCATCATCAGGCCGGGAGCTTTCTGTGTGGAGTTTGCATGTTCGCCCCTCATTTGCGTGGGTTCTCTCCGGGTACTCCGGCTTTCTCCCACAGTCCAAAGACATGCAGTTAGTGGGGATCGGTTAAATGGAAACTCTAAACTGCCCATAGGTGTGAATGTGAGTGGGAATGGTTGTCTGTGTCTATGTGTTAGTCCTGCAACAGACTGGCGACCTGTCCAGGGTGTACCCTGCCTCAAAAAGGAGAAACGAGGAGAAAGGATGGAACTGTGTACATTTTTAAGTCATGTTTCCACTTAAACAAACTGTATATCAAAATGTAGCAGCTAATTGCTGTGACATTTTCTGAGTAAACGTCAACAAGAACCAGAATAACTTTTCTGGATATCTGATTCAGCCAAAGCATACACACATATTTCAGATAAGAAGACTTGAATTGAATACGAAAAGAAGACAGCGACATATTATTACTTGAACTGTACTAGTATATACCTTGTATTTGTCGACTTCCCCTTGTAGTTTAACAGACATCACAGTGGGTTGCTCTAGTTTTCTTAGTCTGTCTTGCCAGGTAAACAAAAACTCCTCAAATACATATGTTTTACTCCTGTAAATTAAAAGAAAAAACACACACAATTACATGACTAAACACATAGTACTGATTAAAAAATACTCTACGTAAAAGTTAAGATATGAGCCCTAAACATGACCCCCCTCTACCTGAATGATATCCAGTCTTCCTGGGCCTTCTCTGAGAACCCTTGGTGCCACTCCTCATACAGACCCCACATTTGGCTGCATTCCTCCATGTGTCTTTTTGTCTCTTCGGCCACAGAGAAAGACGGAGTCTCCAGATTGAAATAGGCACAGTCTTCACTGAGGAGAGCACAGGAGAGTCAAACTTTTGGCCGTAATTGAACTAAATGCGATCTCTTCACACCAGATTTAGTCGCAAACAAAGTCATAACTGAAAATGACCTTGTACAAGTTTTTCATGTGGCACACGATAAAGGAAATAAAAATCCTAAATACTTTAAACATTCTAAATCTCTTAGTGAATAAACCTGAAAGAAAATAAACGTACATCAGCTTAGTGCGCACAAGCTCTAGCTCCTCAAACTCTTGCTGTTTGTCCCTGATTGTCTGAAGACATGCAAGCAGGGCAGCATGATCACCAGTCTCAAGCATCTCATCTTTAGGTTTTAGCTGGTCCCAGCGTGCCTTAAACCGCTCCAGATCTGCCCTGTAAACATCGATACGACTGGCCGCATAACTTCGCATCACCTCCACCTAAGAGAGTACCATGCATGAAAAAGGAGTCATTCTGAGGAAAACAGGATCTGAAAAACCAATTGGAGCAATAAGCTGATCTAAGTGTGTCTGTATGAGTATATGTCACCTGGTCTTTGACCATTAGCTGGTGGCTCTCCATGACAAGCTCCAGTTTGTCCCACTTGGCCCTGAGTGAAGAGAGAGAGTCCAGCCCAGCTCCAGCCACCGCACGTAGCAAGCGGTTCTTCTCCTCAGCAAATTGGAACTGAGGTAGAATCTGTGTATAGACATGAAGCACAGTTTGTTTCAAATGACATGGTTAAATTTTAGACTGTTCCTTGTGGACTTAAAGGACCAATGCTATAAATCAATCAGAAATATGACAAGACATACTGTAAAATGCATTAATGAAGACAAAACTTTTATTTCTTTGACAGGGAGCAAAATGTTTTACTAGATGTATGAAAGTTAACCTTTAATTCTAAAATTACCCACAAACAAGGAAGGAAGAAATTTACAAAAAACCCTAACGAACTGGGTTTAGGAGTGCTTGTGTCTTACTTCAGGTTTGCGGGCAAGTATCTGGTTATATTTGGCACTAGCCGCACCAATTTCCTCCATACTCTCTGGTCGAGTGGACAAGGCCTCCATTGATTCTGTCACAAAAGTTTCTATTGCTTGTGTGTGGCCTGCAAGCAAGAAGGAAGAGAATATACTTTCAAAAAAAGAAAACAGAAAAGGAAAGGGAAAGTGAGAGCAAAGGGGATATCTTAGAGCTGAAGAAATGGAAAACAAATTTTCAAGACACAGACACAAAATTGAGAAAGAGAAATAAAACACTGTTTTTTCATTGGTGAGAAAGACACCTTTAATAATAATAATAATACACTTAATGTCTTTTATATAAAAGCATTTATTGATGCAAAGAGAGAAACAAAGTGGGGGCTTGGAGTGGAGTGTTTTCGTTCTGCCACAAACATTACATACCGGAAAAAACAAGGAAAATCAAGGTGTCTGTGTTTACCTTGTATAGATTTCCTAAGTGAGAGGAGCAGCATGTCAAACAGCCTCTGAATCAGGTCATCTATGGCGGCTTTTACAGGCTCACAGTTGACGGTGATACAGTCCACTTTCTCCTGACTGACAAAGAGAGGAGGCCAGAGATAGAAATGCAGTTGTGTTACATTTGTGGTGTAAGTTCACTTTTAACTGCACGAACTGCACCCAATAAAGAAATATAATAACTAAAACTATAAATGGATAAAGCAGGTCACTGAATCAGACAGTGAGACAAATTCTTAGTAGAGAACAGAACATAATGCCTTGGGCTTTTCTGGAGCGCATCATTTTCTAAAAGTTGTGAATCTGATGTGTGATCTTTGCTGGTATGATTAAACAAACCTTCCCAAGCTGTTACAGAGAAAAACACTTCAGAGGACTCGATTAACGATTAACTTGTAACAAACAAAATCACTTAAGATATCAAAGCAATCTGTGAATGACCTAGTTATATAAACAGTATATAACAATACAGTCTATACACTTTTTGCAATGTTTACTATCCTTATGTGTAAGCATAAATATCATTTTCATTTCACCAGGTTTAATAACATTAGTTAATACGTGATGTGTACCTGGGTAAACGTTCTGACTCTTTTCCCTTGGCTTTCAGGGCCTTGAAATTTCTTTCCCAGTCCTGCACAGAACTCAAATGCTTCTCGATCAACTTCTCTAAATCAGTCTGTCCCAACACCACCCACTCCTGCACTCACGCACACACACACACACACACACGCACACAGAATCACAGTGAGGCGGGGTGCAGTGCATATTTCCTATTTTTAAAGTGTCTGTGTTAAAGGTGACAGTAACGATATCATCCATCAAGACACAGATGACTAAATAAAAAGAGAAGTAAAGAGAAGATGAGATAAAAGAGAAGTCTGGTGCGGGCGGAGGGCTTCCCCCTGCAATTTATACATGCATGATCGCAGACTAAAGGGAAAAGACAATAAACTGTTCTGTCATGGTAGTATGCAGGGGAACACAGCAGTGAAACAACAGAGCTTCAGTAATAAAAAAAAAGAGAACCATGACTGATCCAGGTTTCATTCTTTCAAAGACAGCAATACAGTTATTCCTCAGTGCAGTGCTTCAGTGAGAAACTTGTGACAAGTGTTTCATTATTTAAAATATACGTACATATATAAAATGGTACGCTGCTGAAATAAACTAAAATCAAGTCAGAACCATGATGATGATAATACTAAATATTTAAGTGCTGAGCCAAATAACTGATCAGAAGTTATTAAATCTCGAGTCCGAATTTGACCAGCCTCAAATCCGGTCCAGGTGTCAAAGAGTTACACAACATGCAAATTTTCTTTTTTGTACATAAAACACTATACAGAGGCTCTCCTAAAGGAAAGTTAATAACAAATCACTCTCAGAGTAATTATAAAAGTCAAAACACCTTGAACTTGTGTTGTATAGCTTCCAGGCGACTAAAGAGGTCCTCAGCCTTGCTGAAAATTGTGAGGAACCCAGACGCATTCCTGTCAATCATGATGTTGAAGATGAGCTCCTCCCCCTGGGTGCTGACCCCTCGGAACTGGTTTGGGATCGAGATGAAACGCTTCATTTCTCTAAAATAGCGTGCACGCACCTCCTCAAATGGTGGCGAGAACTGTAAGCGGCCCTGCCTGTTAACAAGAACGGGATTAAAACGATTCCACGGTTTACTCTTAAATCCACATTAATCGATAATACCCTTTTAGAAGAAAGAGGAAGTGATAGAGAGGTAGAGAAAACTGTTGATATGACCAAGGGTGAGAAGTGAGAGGTGTGGGGAAAAGTCAGTAGTTGCTGTTATTGACAAGAGAAGTTGAAAATGCAAATGCAGAGAAAATGCAGAGGAGGGAAAAAAAGATGACAAGAGTTAGAGGGCAGAGAGAGAAAGCGAAACCTGGACAAGTGAAATTTTGGGCACTGACTTGAAAGTGAGATCAATGTGTATTTCTGGTAAGTTCTTGTTCAGTGCTTCCAGCCCAGTCTGATACTGGTGTTCAAGAGCTTTGTACAGCTGATGGTTCCAGTGCTGACGCCACGCCCGCATGTCATCAGACCTGAAGCCCTACAGACACACACACACACACACACACACACA